AAAAAAAAAAAAAAAAAGATTGACAAGCTAACTTAAGTGGAAGAAATGGAAAATACCAAATGAGTCATTTTACTGGAAAGTACAGACTATTTATCTAACCTTCTCCTAATCAACGTACTTACAAAAACCATTAAGAAGATTTCAATGTCACCATTATCCATTGTTAGTTCGACGGCATTGTAATGTTAAGCAAAGTGAATGTCCCCACAAATTGTGAGACTGCTATATTTCCTCCAGAAATTTTTCTAGATCATAGATAATTATGAAGTGTATGAAAATACTTTGAAAATGAAAAGGACTTAGATGTTAGGACTGGTCATGTAGATAAAGTAGATAATAGTAGAAAATCAAAAACTAAAGATGCGTATCATTTCTTTTCTTTTTTCTTGCATATACAGACATAATTTAGATTATGTAAGTCCTGCCAAGACTAGTCAAAGCTGAGACACTGCTCTCTATTATTTTTCCAGGCGAATCTTCTGTTGGTATCATTATCAAATTCTCTTGCTCTTAACTCCACATTATTTCCCTAAACCTGAAAGTGGATTCCATATACTCTCCCATCTTGCAAAGATCTTCTCAAAACCTTAATGGAGGTCAACTCTCAACTTTAGTAACACGATTTCAAACCACAAGTACATATCCTAAAATAATGTTGATATAGTAAAGGCTGCCTTGATCGATTGGTTGAAATAATTGATGTTCCCCATATTTTAACTGTGTTTCACAGAGGAATTAGAAAGCATAAAATAATATGGAAAATCCAATGGGGCTGGGGTCAGGGTGAAAAGTGGGTTGACAAAAGCCTTCTTACTATAAATTCTGCTTCAATGGACTTTTCAATTAACCAACCAAGCTTTAGTTGTGACTGAATCAGATAAGAAGCTTCCATTTTTTTTCCTACTGTGAAACATTTTGGTGTGGAGGTAGAGCGCAGTGAGGAAGAGAAAATTAGCTGTAGCTTTTCCAGAACTCACTGGGCAGTATACTGACTGTGATGTTATGATATCGTGTCCCATGTTACAACACTCAGTGCTAATTTAAAATGTGGCATAATGGTGATTTGTAGTCCATATGTCAGTCATTTCCAGGTGTTGTTTCCGGATTTTTGTGCAATTGACATATATAATCATAAGTTTCTAAAACTCAAAGTGGCTTCAACACTGCAACAAAGAATAAATGCTATTCATTATTTATTAAAAAACAAAACATGAAAGGCACTGGCTTAGGTCCAATTAGTCTTATACTTTCCCACTATTTAAAGAAAATTAAACCTGTTATCTCCAGATGTGAATCTCAAGTGGAAATAATTAGACATTTCTGGAAGTCCTATCAATTTTTTCACGTCATTACAAATCATAACTAAGTGGGCAATAACTTAAGGTGATTTGAAAATTGTTCCAATGAAGCTGTGTATTCAGAAAATCTTGTTTCACATCAATAAAAATTTTACCCCACTGTCTTAAATTTTGACTGTAACAAGCATATTGTAAATGCATATCACTAGTTACTAGCAAGAAAATAGGAAAATAATATTATAACCCGTATCTACTCTCTCAGTGCTATATCAAAAAACTATCCCTAACTTTTCACTGACAGCAATATAATAGCTAAGGGCTTTCAATTTAAGAACACCATGTCAGAGCCTTTAAGTTATGTGATTTTATTCTCACAACTTTGAAGATAAATGGTATCCCCTGTTTTGCAGATAAAAAAATTAAGGCTTAGAAAAGTTATATAACTTGTCTACATCCATACCACCCTGAACATGCCTGATCTCATCTGATCTCAGAAGCTAAGCAGGATCAGGCCTGGCTAGTGCCCGGATGGGAGAAAAGTTCTATAACTTACCAAAAATTGCTACTATGTGGAAAAGCAAGGAATCGAACCCAAAGAATATAATTTCTGAACCTGCCCTCAGAGACCATATGTGCAAAAGAACAAACTGGCTACCTAAAAGTGGATTCACACCTTCAAAATTGTATTCCAGGTTAACAATTTTACATTGTAGAGTATCTAATTTTGAAAACCCATATAAAATGCTTCTTAAGGGTTTTTGTTTCCTGAAAATAAATACTTACAAGACAACTTGTCTAATCATTCAAGATATCACTACCATAGTGGGAAAGAAAGAAAAATTTCTAGAATAAAAGAAACTAGAGATATAACAAGTAAATGTAACACATGTAACCTTAGTTGGGGCCTGGTTAGGACGAAATGACCATACACTGTCGGTAGAAATGTAAATTAGTACAACCTCTATAGAAAACAGTTTGGAAATTTCTCAAAGAACTAAAAATGGAAATACTGTTTGAACCCACTACTGAGCATATACCCAAAGGAAAAGAAATCATTACATCAGAAAGCTACCTGCACTCATATGTTTATCACAGCTCTATTCACAATAGTAAAAATATGGAATCAACGTAAGTGTCTATCAACAGATGAATGCATAAAGGGATAAAGGAAATGCACTGAATATACACAACGGAATACTATTCAGCCATGAAAGAATGAAATGATGTATTTTGCAGCAACATGAATGGATCTAGAGGCCATTATCGTACGTGAAGTAACAGAAAGTCGAATACCACATGTTCTCACTTACAAGTATATAGCTCCCACTAAATAACATGTACACATGGGCCTGGTGTGTAGGATAATAGACATTGGAGACTAGGAAGGATGGGAATGTGGGAGGGGGGTGAAGGATAAGAAATTACTTAACGGGTACAATGTACAACACATTAAGGTGATGGTTACACTAAAAGCCCAGACTTCACCACTATGCAACATATCCGTGTAACAAAACTGCACTTGTACCTTTTAAATTTATACAAAGAAGAAAAGAAAGAACAAAATGATTAAAATATTTTGGCAGTATTGGGAAAATTTGAATATGGACTTAGTTTTAGATTATATGTGTAAATTAGTAGTGTTAGATGTCGACAGTATTGTGTTATGAATGTTTTTTAGAGTGAAATGCTGAAAGAGATTAGCTGTCATGATTTTTGTAATTTACCTTAAAATACCTCCTCAAAACAATTAAGCATACATAGCAAAATGTTAACAATTGTGAAATCTAGGGAATGGATGTGCAGTTGCACATTATACTATTCTCACATTTCGATACATTTAAATATTTTTCAAAGTAAAAAGTCAAAATTTTAAAAATTACTCATATTAAAAATTCGGTGTTCATTTTTTAGCTTTAAAGCAATAGTCCTTCACCAATATTTGGCATCATGTTATTTTTTGAATCCTCTGCCCTTTGTTCAACTGTACTCACTGACAAGGAAAAATGGTGCTCCATTACGTTAACTGCCGGAAAGCAATTAGTCTGGTGACTTTGGGAGGCCAACAGGAAGGGTAGAAGATCTGTTCCTGCTTGGAGGACCTGGGCCACGGCTGTTTGTGTCTCCATCAGTGTCATCAATCATTATCACGCTTCCTATCAATCAAGTAAACTAGTCATTGCGAACCTCGGAACGTCACTGTGTTCTTCAGGAGGAAATTGATCACAAAGGACTACTGTCAACCTCAACAAACTACAACTATTCTTTCTTTGTCTTTGAAAGCAAATTTCTTGACAGAAGTGACTTTACCCTAAATCCAACGAATTCCTATTTCCATAAAGCTCAACTGGAGAGTTATAAAACCTGAAGATTCTCATGTGCTGTCTCTTCCTTTGCTGCTAGTTAACCACCCTCAAAGGTAGCTGAAGGCAAACAGCGGCATTAAACATACTAAGAAGAAAGATTCACACTACGCCAGGTATTGGGCATTTTAGATATATTCTAATGTAACTAAGCAGCTTTGAAGTAATGTAAGTATATTAAATATTAGTAGTAGTTCTGGTACAGTGATTCTTCTCTCTTCTGGTAAACTGCTAAACTGTGTGATAACAGGCTCAATTCATATGTCATTAGAAGAAAATATGATCGGTATGAATATTTTTTGGTCTTGAAAATAAAGAAAATGTTTATTTCCTAAAATATTAGGAAACAGATAAAACAATGTACTGAAATAATGATAATTCCTTTCTCCAGTTAGGCCAGATTGTTTTCATCTTAGTACACAAGTACTACAAGTACCACTGAGCCTTCATGATGGATCAGGAATTATTCTCAGTACAATTTATAATATATATTATTCCAGGCAATCCTCAAGACAATCTTATCATGTAAGATTACAATTCACTCAAAGTCACAAAGTGGCAGAGCTGGGATTTTAAACCAAGTCTGAATGACTTTAACACAGTTTGACAAAACACAGGGCAACATTATGAAGGGTATCTGATATGACAACACACCACATTGACATGCGCACTAATTTACTTACCCTAGTGTGTAATCTGTGTAAGGAACAGCCTTTATTTTGTTTTCTAAAGCTGGTAAGCTGCCATGTACATGTTGTATACAAAATCAAAATGAGAAAAGTAAAAGGCGACATCTTTCTCTTCAGTAGAATGAAGTTGCAGTACAAGTCCATTTGATATGGTTCTTTGTCCTAAATAACAACCTCATCCAGAGACAAGAAACATCTTTGGTTAAAAGAACAACAAGGAATATTTACAAAACCATGTTCGATAAATATCAGGTAGTGTATACGATGGTTCACCAAAGAGGAAGGCTTCTTGGATTAAAATAGAAATAAGAAGACAATTATTTCTTCCTAAGACCCTGCCTTTCTTAGGCAATCTTTAGCATCTATAGAAAATGTTCATGTTGCAAACTAATTATAACAGAATAATTCTTGACTCTCCTCCATTGCTTCCTCTCCAAAAGAATGTATCTTAGTCTTGAAGCAAATATGACTCACCACTGTGGAATGAAAATGTATACATAATTTTCAGAAATGATTGGTCTATTTTAAACTGTATTTTCTAACAAAAATACATGATTCACCAAAATGCTCCCACAATATCATAACGAACAGTAAATCACATTTCTGTTTTTCCCAGGAATCACAGAAAAAGATGAAAACTTTGCCGCTGCTTGTGTGCATCTGTGCACTGAGTGCCTGCTTCTCAGTGAGTATCCACCCAAATCAGTTTTCTCTTAGGCATCAAACATTTGGATTTTAAAGCATAACAGGCAATCCCTATTTCTAAGAAGCTTGACATCTTTTGTGTTCTGTGAAACAGAGATAAAGAGAGGAAAGATGGTGACTTACACTGAATGTCAGCAGTTAAAAACAAAACGGGAAAGTGGATTTAGGATCTATTTTGGTGATTGAATCTACCATACCTTCTCCTGGATTATGTGTGTGGTAAAAGAAATTAACGAAATTGTTCTGTTTGGGGCATATTAAATTTGAAATCGCTATTGGACTTCCACATGAAGACGTCAAGCAGGCAGTTAGTTGAATATACATTGCCTGGAGTTCAGAAAGAAGTCAACAGGTAAAGCTTTATCTAGAACATATTTGAAGTTATGAGACCTTACAAGATCACCTAGGGATAAAATGTAGGAAGTTTGAGTATGGATAGAAAAAATGGAGGCAACACAAAAGGGGACAGGAAAGGATGATTTCCAAAACCAAGAGAAGATTACAAACTGGACCCTATCTTTATGATTTTTAGGGTCTACTAGGAAAGGAAGATTAAAACTAATAATGAGTCAAGGGGATAAACCCTGTAATAATAACCATATTTGTTTCTAAGTCTATATACCTGTATTTATTCAATTTTATTGTGACAAATTTGAAATAGGATCAAGAAGTGAAATGTATATTTAATGGATGAGGCTGAATAGCCTCAAAATATTATGACTGTAGAGAAGAGATAGAGAGGGCAGGAGAACTGATAAAGTGGATGGAATTTAGTCTTGAATATTCTCATATTTCCCATTTGTCACATAACATCCCCCCGACAAAACCATCTTCAGCTTTTTCCCTGTACTCAGGGAGCAGACAGTCTGGCTCCTCTCTTCAAGATGTCCCAAAGAAAGACTGAAGGGACGTACTCTGGAGTCAGATGAGGAGCTCTGTTAAATATAACATTACTTAACTACTGCTTCCTTCCTTGTTAGAAAATGGCTTCTAAATGGTCATAAAAATAGGTTAGTAACCTGGAATGCAGAAATTTAGCGTGCTTTCTCATTTCGAGTCAATGCAATCTTGACCTTGCACTCTTCTAACCCTCTTCCTTTGTGACTCTTTTTCTGTTTCTTTCATGACTAATTTTTCTTCCTCTTCCTTCCTTAGAGAATTTGGCATTCCCTTTAGTTATTTTAGGAATCTTCTGCTTCCTCCTGCACCTCCTTTCTTGCTCTACGTGTCAAGGGTCCCTCCCCTCGTGCCTCCCTTGACTCCAGCCTACTCTTTCCTCATTCCTCAGTTCTCCCCCACCCAGAAGTGTGGTTTGCACGTGGAGACATATTGTCCTAAAAGTACGTTAATCCTTCTGAGACTCAGTTTCCTCATCTGTGTAATGATAATAATAGTACCCACCTATAGTGTTGCTAAGGAATTCAATGAGTTTGCATTTGTAAACCCCTTAGAATAGGGCCTGACACAAAGTAAGTGCTTTATAAAGATTTTTTTATATAAAAATAATGAATGTGAACAGACAAGGGTTGATATCTTTAATATGCTCCTCCTTGCATATCTATATTTATCATAAGCACCTCCATGCTTCAATCGTCTGGGCTCAGAACCTTAGAGGCATCCTTTTCAGATCCTTCCCCTCCCAAACTTCCCTAAACCCAATTCCAATCAACAAGTTCTGTTATAGCCATCTGTAACAGCCAATAATAATAATACCACATTTTAAGTAAATCAGACAAACTGGTCATTTGACACGTGTTCTATGCTAAGCTAACATTAAAATTAATAGTATTTTAATTCATTTGCCTTCGTATAAAAATGGCCTAGGTATTATTTTGGTCACCTAAAGTAAAACAGCTGAAACAATTTTATATGCTAAAAAAAAACTTTTAAATGTTATGATTTTATTCAATAAAACATTAGTTATTTGTTATTATCACTTCCATCCATTCACTCATTCATTAAATATCTAGCCTGCCATGAGTCAGGCATAGTTCTAGGTATTGGGCATACAGAAATTGGTATGGGCAAAACAAAAACAGGTATTGGGCAAAACAAAATCCCTGCCCTCATGAAGCTTCTCATCTGATTAAGAGAATGAACAGTATCACTATTTTGAAGCATAAAAGTCATAGAATTACGATCTGGAATTTAATTTAATACAAATAATTTCATAAATGAGTAAACTGAGTTCCAGTATTGTTCAGTGACTTGCATAAAGTCACTCAGTTATTTAATGGCAGACACAGGACAGACCCAAACCTCTACTGCTGGTCTGTTGCAGTGTTTCAAATGTGTTCCTCCAAGATACGGACATTCTTCATAACATGTTGGAGACCACCTAGAAAGGGAGAGACCGAGCTAGTGGAATAAGACACTCTCAATCCTGTTTCCATCGGAGCAGTTGTGTAATAATCTGGATTGCATACTGAGTCTCCAGGGAAAGATCTGAACAATGTGACCTGTGTATTTTATAGGAGAAAACACCACCCCTGTAATGGAGACAAGCTCCTGGGAGGATCCTGGAGTCAGTGTTACAGACTCTGGAAATTGATGCCCTTTTAAAAGAGATCTATTCAAAAATAAAGTTATAAGGATCTGAGGCCATTACTTTACCTTATGGATGTTCACTCAGGAACTGAGATTTTCTGGATAATTTAATTTTCTAAACAAGTAATGTTTTCCAAAGCTATTTTTGAAGCTGGATATATTAGTCTCTGAGGAAGTTATCTTAGCTAAACAACTCTGCTAGTCTCAGAAGTTGTCAGTTTACCTGCACTAAACTTTCTCCAAAGAGAGTTTTGTAATATGGAACTGGAATGATTTATCTATTTGGTGGTTTAAAAAGGACTTAAGTGGGAATTATCAGGAGGAAAAATGTAACCTATCCTTGTTTGGAACTTTGGGATGTTCCCCTTATCTTTAAGTTAATATTTCCTTTCTCCAGTTTAATATAATTGATCATTTAAAAATTTAGTATGAGATCAAATACAGAAAAACAGAATACAAACTACAGTATATTTAGAGATAAGAAACTGACATCGTGATGATATTCTGACCCAAATAATGTCAATAATGGCTAAAGAATCAAAAATATTAATCTTGCAAAATATAAGACCCAGATAGCATGGAAGTTATTTTCAAATTTTAAAAGGCTCCCAGATCTTCTATGTGTTGCCAAAACATAAAATTGGGACCAAAGAATGGAAATCTGAAGAAATAAATTTTTATTCAGTTTAGAATGGAAATCTCAAGAAATAAACCCCCATTCGTCATCCAGAACTCTTGATCAAGCTGCTTTGGAAGATACGGTAATGAGTTCCTGACCAAAAGAGATTGTCAAGCATAGGCAGGAAAGCTATTCAGCAGGGGTGTTGGGAAAAGATCAAGTATCATATGTACGGGTGGACTAGATCTGTGTTATTTCCTGACATAAACATCTTTGAGAATTCATGAAAGCTGTCAGTCCTCTATCCAGACAAAATGCATAAACATGCAAAATTTTTCCTACAATATCACATGATTCATGAACCCCAAGTATTTTGTAATTCTAATTTTTTTAATAATAAAGTTAAAATGTAACGACCACAGTTCTTTCTCCAATTTATAAAGGCTAAACTGTTTCCAGGGATACAGAGAATATGGAGCTCGGATGGGATATTTTGCTTGTTTGGTAAATTGGTTGATTGGGCTTTTGTTGTTGTTTGATTATTTTATTTTGTGTTTTGATGATAGTGAATATAAGGGATGTGATTCAGAAAAGGCTCATGGACATCAGTTGAACATCTTTAACTAAAGTTTTGTGAACAGGCTAAGCTAGCAGGATGCCTTTTTGCTGAGGTCTCAGGGAGCAACTTGACCATTTTCTACCAAAGAGAGAAGAGAGAAACTGTAAGCACTAAAGTGCAAATCTAGCTAATCATGCAGACTAGAGCCTGCAGGAATATAGCCAACTCAGTTAGCTGAAAAGTAGACCCTTGACAAAAGAAAACTTTCTAATAGTAATTCTTTATTGAGATTTGATGAAATTAAGACAATCATGTGGCCCACTGAACTCCAGTCTCCAATCCCAAAACTCCACAAACATTGCTTATGTCATGGTCAGCAACGATCCCCTAATTGATAAATCAATGTGGCAGACTTTTTTCATTTCACTTTCTTTCTTTTCCATAGCTCAGCGAAGGTCGAAAGAAGCATCGTGAACTATTTCACAGAAGGCATCATCACAATCGATCAAGACCTGCCTCCAAATTACCACAACCTTCTAGACCACTATATCACCAGAATCCATTCATTAAAAAGCCTGTCCATGTTGGTCTATACAAATCTCATAAGAAGAGGCCCCCACATTCAGCTAATAAGTCCTCCAAATTCCCAAATAACCAACAGCCACCCAAGGGTCCTATTAAAAATAACGCCGTGGTCAACAAAAATATCTCAGAGGCTACCACCCAAATCCCACCTCTGAATTCCCCATCCGCTTCTACCAAAATTGCTACCTCTCCAGGCCTGACTGCTCTTGTTCAGAATGGTACTGCCATACCTTCAGGAGAAAATAATGTCAACATGGGCTCTTCTGTAGCTGGATCAACATCAGGGTATTCCCCGGAGCCACCAGTGACCACAGCTGCACTGCCAGAGACCACAGCTGCACCACTGGATACCACAGCTGCACCACTGGATACCACAGCTGCACCACCGGATACCACAGCTGCACCACCAGTGACCACAGCTGCACCACCAGTGACCACAGCTGCACCACTGGAGACCACAGCTGCACCACCAGTGACCACAGCCGCACCACTGGAAACCACAGCTGCACCACCAGAGACCACAGCTGCACCACAGACCACAGCTGTCCTAGTTACCTCTCCTAATTCTTCCCCAAGCACTGCTGCACCTGAAACTTCCAAAACGACAGCTGCACCCACAAGCCAAACTACAACTGTTCAACAACCAACTTCTTCTCCCAGCCAAAATAGAATTTCTCAGTATCTTTTAGGTTTTCAGGATATAATAAATCAAATTTTTGATTATTTGGTTACAGGGTAAAGCATTAGTATATACATTGTAAAGTGTGCTATCATTTATAAGATGCAATTTATCAGTGCAGAACTATACCATCTTTACTTTCACTACAAATCACAAAGTAAAATTATATCACTCAGATTTAAAGCACTGTCACTAATCTTTCAATCTAACTATTCACCCCCACATGACCTATTAACAAGACAAACCACCTCTATCCCGCAAACCAGGTGCATGTCCAAGATTCTTCTCTCTTTATCTAATGACTTTCTCTCCCTTTAGTAGGCTATCTCTGTAGGTCCCAAAAAAGTGATCACTTTTTGGGACTCATGGCTCATCAACTGCATGGCTCATCAAATATTTACTTTTTCCTAAATGTGGGAAACTACAAGGTCACTACAGTTTAGCCCCAATCCAAAACTGACCTGAATCACTTAATTCCTATAAACATGAAGGGATAAAATTGAGTCTGTCCAAATGAACAAAAATACCTAAATATCTATAGATAGATAAATCTATCTATCTACTGATAGAACTGTGAGCCAAGAAAGGGGAAAGTTGATTTGAAGTGAAGATTTGAAGTGAATGGAATGAAATTTGGCAGCCGAGCACAAACCAAGACTGGCACTACATTTTTGAGAGCATGTAACTGTTTAAACCTCATGTTTGACATTTACTGTCTTATATCTAGTTAATTTGGATCTAATATACCTGCTTCTAGCCTCTGTGAACCACCAAAGATTTTTCTGTATGTTTCCATGGTGCTCACAGTATTTCACTATCCATTCAATTAATTTGCATTAATTCAATGTGAAATGTATTCAACAGTAAAATATTTTCTAAAAACATTTAGTCATACATTTGAATGTGTTTTAAACCACACCAAACTACTACTCTATTGTCGCTTGCAAAATTATCTCTGAAAATAAACCCTGACTTTACTTACAAAAGCATGAAAATTAGCTACTTGGTATATAGAGATGATGTTAATTGGGGATGTGGAGATATTTTTACTTTCTGTCACTACTACTATTAATAAGAACTCTGGTGATTGCATTTAGATTTTTTTGCTAACTAATAAAGACTTGAAATGGCAATCTATTATCATTGTGTGTATTTGAAGTTTCTTGCCTCAAACTGGTGAAAACAGGCCTAAATGAAGACTTACATTCTTGTCCACTCTGCCACTAATCAGCCAAATGACCTGGGTGGGGCACACTACCTCTGAACATTAATTATTTTTTCCATCCTTTGAACAAAGCAGTTAATTTACTTAGATTAGATTAGCTTGATCGTACTTATTAACATGTTTCCAATCCAAATTCGGCATTAGCCGTACGCTTCTCAGTCTGACAGAGAGCCCAGGCCTCTCGCTTAACTCTGTCCCTCCCAGGCTCATCTTGGAGTAGCTCTGTATGATCAGCCCAGGACTGATCACTGCGGGAGTACTTGGGTCTGGACGTTTCTGCTCAACATAGGACTCTGCAACAGGCAACCTTTACTCTAGAACTCCCCTTACGGCCAAGACTTTGTCAAATCTACATCATGGACTGAGGCTCTCCCCTCCTAATCTCACTTCCTACCCCTTTGCTTTCACGGATATCAGATCTGCACCACGGTCTGAAAGCTTTCCCTGCCCACTTCTGCTTCATCCTCTATTTTTCATGGGCATTACTCCCTAATAAACTGCTTAGTTTCCAAGGAGGAAAGGGAGAAATGGTAGAAAGTAGAATAAATTCACTGATTATTGCCTCATTGATAAAAGCTGAGAGACAAAAGATCATGTCATGCTGCCAAATCAAGCAGTAAAAACTTAAGCATGTATAAGCATACAAAGCAAATATTAAGAAATATAACACTGTGTACTAACATTGGATGGTGGAGGGAAAAAAAGGAGGAGGAGGAAGATGCTACAAGTTAGTTTTATTATTTCACAGAGTAAGAAACCAATAGACACTGCCTAAAGGAAGAGAAAACTCAGGTTATCCCTTAAAAATATTAATGTGTGGCTATTAAAATAAAATTAAAATCTTCCTATACAACTACCAAAAAAAAAA